CTTGGAGGGAATCTTGTATCTCGGGCTTCTAAACGTCAAAGATCGGTATCTAGATCCACTACTGAGGTCGAATATCTTGGGATTGTTGAAGTTGTTGCAAATGTTATATGGCTTAAAGCCTTACTAGCTGATATGGTGATATAGTGCTCTAGCCAATATGTTATCTGGAGTGAAAGAACGAGTGCCATAGCTAGGAGTGCAAATCCTGTTTTGCACTCTCGATCGAAGCATGTTGAGTTAGACCTCCATTTTATTCGGGAGAAGGTAGCATCCGGTGATGTTTGTGCTAATAATGTTCCAGCTCGACATCAGCAAGTTGATGGTCTAACAAAACCTTTGTCTCGTGCCAATTTTCCCTTGTTTCAATACAAATTAAATGTTTTTGGGGGAGATGTTCAACCTTTGAAAAGTAGGGAGACTATTAGCTAATATAAAAAAATATTAGATGTGTTGTTAAATTTGGTGTAACCACTTGGATAAGCTGAAATAACAAACTAGATCCTTCTAGTAGGTCATCTTTAAAAAGGCTGTGAAATGCAAAAATAGAGCATTTGTTTTACTATGCTTATTGATAAAGAAGCCAAACATGCCATGTGATTACTATGATCGGAGTCTCAAATCTAAATCTGTTTCTTCGGACGTTAGTTTACTATGCATTGTGGGCGAAACAAATCTGATGGTTAGTTACATCATAGTTCATTATCGTGTCTTCGTTTATATAGCCGTCTTTTGTTTCTGCTATGCGTCTTGAAACCAGGAATTTGTTCTGCAGCTGATGATTTTAAGAGCAGATTTGATTGGAGAATTTTAGAGTTGGGCGAATCCAACTTTGACTCTGCTATTACCTAGTGTTCGTCGACTTATACGCTCCTAGTGCCGGTGGTGGATGCTTAGAGTAGCTATGTGTCTATCCTGAAATCCAAATTTCTTTATATTAATTGTTCATTTTATTATTAGTATCCACTCTAAAATTTTATTTGTATTTACCCATTTAAAATATTTTCATTATAAATATATGTATACCCGTTCAAAAATATTTTTGTATTCGCCATGTCTATATAGTGCGGCCATTGCAAAAATCTTGCACCCCAGTTAGATAAGACTACCCCAATTCTTGCAGGATTAAAGGATCCCGTAGTTATAGCTAAACTAGCCGCTGACAAATTCACTACTCTTGCTCATAAGTACAAAATTGGTAGATTTCCTAAATTCAAACACTTGAAATATAGTGTCATCTAGAATTACAGTTTGATATCATTATTACATGATTGTGATACTTGTAGTCATTATAATAATCTTCGTTATATGCGCAATCACAATAAACACAAACGAAAACATGATCATAATCGACAAACCGTAATTTAAATCTCTACCGCCTTTCTCACCAAAAAAAAATCAATTACTTGATTTAGATAACTCTTTTTACTAATTCTCGTAACATATACCAGCAGCTCTCTAATCGAACTATTTTATCTTGCTTAAATTGTTAGCGTACAAAGATATTTATAGATCTAATTACAATAATGAGCGGTTCACTGTCCTAATTAATATCAAGCGACGAGATAGTCTCGAAACAATACGGAAATAGTAAAAGTGGACAATAGACAACATTTTCCCATGAAAGATGGAATGAACAGTTATCAATTGAATAAGAAAAAATTAGTGGCAACTGAATTTCACAACCTAGAAAGCTTTGAAGATTCAATTGCTACTCAATTTTTAAAATAATATTAACTGTCAAGAACGACAGAGTGCTGCACTGCGAAGATGATATCCAACTTAATTCTCATAAGTACAAAAACTATTAATTATTTTCGTGAGAATTTTTAAGTTGTCAAATTTTTTATAAAATCATTGTTCAATAATCTATTTAATATTTTAGCATTAGCTTAGGGATATATTAAGTCGCATCTTCAATCTAATGGAGATGATTGTGGAGTGATTATTTTGTTATAAATTGATCATGTTAGTAATCAATTTATTATCTTTGAAACTTTAGCGAGAAAATAAAAATTATACAAGAATTAGTGATCATTTGTGTAATTTACCCTAACTCTAAATGGATTAAGCACAACAACTATTATCTTTACGAGAATTCTTAAGTTATCAAATTTGCTTCACATGTCATTATGTTCCGGGCACAAGCTTAGCACACGCCCGCTACATGCCGTCCAAGTGTTGTCCTCTTGAATCTGTACTGATTTCTAGTTATTTTATCTAGGGTTGTAAAATCAGGTAATCGGGCAGGTTTCAGTCGGATCTTGGCAGGTCGGGTAAAATCGGGTACAGGTCAATTCAGGTTGATTTGACACCAGATCCAGATCGGGTTCAGGTCAGGTCAAATCAGTTCGGGTTATTTTTCAGGTTGATTTGACATCAAATCTAGATCGGGTTCAGGTCGGGTCATTTTCAGTTCGGATCGATGCCAGTTCAGGTAAAAACAATTCAGGTCCGAAGCAGATAAAGGTCAGGTTAATTCAGGTTTGGGTTGAGTTCAGTCGGATCTCGTTCAGATCGGGTCACATCATTGATAGATAAAATTCAGGTCGGATGTTTATCGGATACGGATTGAGTTCAGGTCGGGTCGTTTTCATTTTTTGGATTAATTATTTTGTCATCTTTCGTGATTGTTGAATTGGAAGTTGTAATTGTATATGATTTCGAGTAAATTAAGAGAAAAATAAATATTCATGGATCAATTTTGTAAACAAATATAAATTTAATGACAAAATTGAAGAAATGTAAAATTACAAATAAAATCTTAAAATATAAATTAAACAACACACATAGGTAAGGGACTAAATCGAAATAAATTTAAAATGTGAGGTTTAAATTAATATAAAAAATGAGTAAATTAAACACATTTAAAAAATTATGGGTCATTTACAAAAATATAAATAAATAACAACTAACAATGGAATATGCAAATATAAATTTAAGGACTAAATTGAATACATATAAAAGTTAAAGACTTAAAATTGAAATAAATTAAAAAACATAAAAGGATTAAATCGAAATAAATGCAAAATGTGAAGAAATAATGAAAAATATACTAACTTGCATTCATTCAAAAAATTGAAAAAATATAATATATATATAATATAAAATTATATATAAACTATATTTATATTATAAACTATATATATAAATTATATTTATGTGCACTATATATATAAACTATGTATATAAACTATATTTATATTATAAACTATATAATTATTATAAGCTATATATATAAATTATGTTTATTTGAACTATATAAATAAACTATGTATATAAACTATATATGTATAAACTATATAAAATATATAGTTTATATGTTATAATTTATATTTATATAGTATATATATGTATGTATAACTAATATAAGTAATACATATAATATATATATATATATATATATTAAAGAAATACTATGCATAAAATATATAAAGTAATAAATTATATAGTTTATAAAAATCCTAAACCCTATACCCTAAAACATAAACCCTAATTCATATATAATTTATATAAACAATAGATTATATAAATTATATATGTAACGTTAACCTATAGTCTATAAACAATAGTTAATATATGTAACTTATAGTATATGTATACATGTAAACTATATATGTAACTTATAGTACACATATGTATAAACTATGTAGTATATATATAAATCATATAAAGTAAATTATTTATATAGTTTATAGAAACAATATGCATAAACTATATAAATTAATAAAGTATGTATTATATAAAACCCTAAACCAAAACCCTAAACCTTAAACTAAAACCCTAAACTCTAAACTTTAGACTTTAAATCTTAAACCCTAATCCATACATCATAAGCCCTAAACCCTAAACAATAGTTAATATATATAATGTAACCTATGATATATGTATACATGTAAACTATAAATGTAACTTATAGTACATGTATCATGTATGTATAAACTATGTATAGTGTATATAAACTATGTATATATATAAAACCTATAGTATATGTATATATACAATCTATTTATATGTTATATAAATTATATATGTAACCTATAGTTTATATTCAATAGTTTATATTAGTGTACTATATAGTTTATACTTTATAACCAATGGTATATAATTTATAAACTATAGTTTATATTAATGTACTATATAGTTTATATTAATGTTAATAAACTATACTATATAATTTATAACATATAATTTATATTAATATTAATATTAATGTTATAGACTATATTTTATATTAATATTAATTATAAATTATAAACTATATTATATTTTAATATTAATTATATTAATTTTAATTATAATATTAATTATTATAATATTAATTATAAATAGTTAATTAATAAAAATTATATAGAGATGAAATTGAAATAATTTAAATATAACGATTAAATTGAATCATTAATGTCGGACTAAATTGAATAAGAGCAAAAAAGAAACGAAAGTACATTGGCGGGAACCAACAACATAAAATCCCGCCAGTCCAACCTCACGATTCGAACTTATTAATTTCCCATTTCTATAAACCCCGCAATACCCACCACTCCATCGCTTTATCACTCAAAACCCTAGCTAGCCATTCTCTCTTCAAAAACCCTCCAAAATGCTCGAGCTCAGGCTTGTTCAAGGCTCGCTTCTAAAGAAAGTTTTGGAAGCGATTAAGGACTTGGTCGTGTTGTTACCGGCCCTAGGGGATGCTGTTGGTGTGTTTTCGTTGTCGGTAGTGTCGTCGTTCTGTACTGGCAGCCCCTATATTCAAACCAAATCCTACTGCCAATTCATTTTCTTTCTATTCATTTTTTTCCAATTTGTATTCTTTTTTCAGATTGTATATATGATATACTCTTTATTTATAACTAAGACTTTGATCCAATCAAGTTAATTTCAATACAATTCAATGAACAGATACCTTTCAATTTTAAAAACAATGAAAGCCCCTTTGGTTATTTGACTTATTGGCATGAATTGGTTTGATAATCGATTGTTTCTTGTTTTGGAGAAGTTAGTTAATATTATGGCTCCGAATGATATATGCTAACATCTGTGTTTGCAGGCATGTTATATGGAGGTAGTAAGGAAGCTGCTGCTTCAGTTGTAAGCTTTTTGTTTGCATTAAAAAAGGCTTTCAATTTGATGCACAGGGAGTTGCAAGAATGTATGAATTTGATATAATTTGTATACATGTATGTTTGTGTACCTATGTATGATATAATTTGTATACATGTATGTGTGTGTACCTATGCATAATATAATTTATATATAATGGAGATCTTTACAGTCCTGCAATTTTTTTTTTGCAATCATGTGATTGTTCATTTTTTGGTATAGAAATATCTTCAATTTGTTTCACAGGAAGTTGAAAGAATGTTTGAATGTGATATAATTTGTATCTTATGGGTGTGTTTACAATCCTGACAGTTGTTTCCTTTAGTTGCAATCATGTGAGTGTCCTTTCTTTCTTCAAAACTGCTTATGTTTTTATTCTTATTCTACAATGATTTTTTTATTGAAATTTGGGAATTCTTTGGTAGAGCAAAGATGCAGAAGTAATGTTGAAGCTTGGCAGCACTCCAGATAAACGAGAGCAGTATCGGTTGATGCGGAATACGATGGAAAAAAGGTTTATCCGAGTCACTCGTGGCTCAATTGTAGGTGGAGTTCGACTTGGAATGTTCACTGCTGGATTCTATGGTTTACAAAATTTGTTGGCTGAGAAACGGGGTGTCCATGATGTATTCAATGTTGTTGGTGCTGGTTCTGCAACTGCTGCAACCTTTGGTCTAATTAGTAATGATTCAAACCTTACTAAATGCAATCATTTTCTTTTGAGTTCCAGTATAGTTTATCTCTATCATTAACTTCTTTCACAGTTGGAATTGAAGCCTTGGAAACAGAACAAGGATAATATATGATTCTCATCTGTATTTATCTTCTTCCTTTTTCTTTGTTTGTTGATATCTGTAGTGCCTGGGTCTCTTCAATGGCGTGCAAGGAACGTGGTGATAGGTTCAGTCCTTGGAGCAGCTTTTTGTTTTCCTCTTGGTAATCTATTTGCACGTTGTAATTTCACATTGATATTTTCTTGAATTAGCAGTGAAATGGTCTTCAATAGGCCGTTATGTAACTGCTGTGTAATCAGTTGTTCATTCAATCACGACCCAATGTTACCATAAAAACCTTTAAAGGTGACAGTAAAGGAATCCAATTGCATTTTGTGATGTTACATTGTTCGTGCTGGAAGTTTAGGGCCGGGACCGGGACTGGGCATGTAATATAGGATTTGCATTTTGTGACAGGTTGGATCCACTTGAAGCTTGTTTTTGTTTCATTTTGGTCATCTATCGTAAAAAAATTAACAAAACTGTTATATTTGCTTGATCAAATGGCAAATATCTTACGCTATGAATTATTTGCAGGTGTCACAACTATTGCTGGAGGAAAGTCGAATGTTGCAGGATATAGGGATGGGCCTAGTGAGGATGCAAAGTTCTCGAATGATTTTGATGTGGTATATGTTTGACCGACCTGTTCCTTGTTCCTTGTTACTTGTTAGTTATCGATAGAGGAAATGCTGCTCTTCAACAAATTTCACTTAACCAAGATGATTGTGATTATCAGTATAGTTCAGTTTCTCCCACAGGTTGTTCCCCTATTTGTTTGCTTTTCATCCCAATCATTGGAAACATTAACAATCATCTTCCTCACATCACTTTTTGACTTGTTTTTTGTTTCCTCTTCTAAGAGGAAACTAATATGGACATAATTTTCCTTGAAATACTTGAATCAGAATTTGAAATTGTTGCACTCAAAACTTGAGGGAAAGTAGACTTTGAATTGGAAAAAAAACATGGTTACACTCGGTGAAAAGAGGGGCTTCGAGCATTGGGGTTGTGTTTAACGGTATCTGAAACAAATTTTAATTGATGTTTTTGTTTTTTTGTAGTATGCTTCTGTCCAAAGTAACACATTCTGATTTTGCTTGATATTAATTTTATTTTCATAAACAATGTTGAATGTTTGATTATGTAAGGGTTTAGTAAAGTCGGAAATGTTATAAGATTTGAGAGCTTAATTTTTTTTTAATTTTTTCTTCATTTTATTGTATTCAACTTGAATTAACTCAAATTTTATTCAAATTTTATATTAAATGTTATTTAAATTATCATTATCAATTAAATTTATATTTTATATTATTTTTCATTTATGTTATAATTGTTAGATAATTTTTTGTACAAAAATTAAACGATGTAGTTTATATTTATAATTTAGAGAATTAATCACGTTTAATACTAATATTCATTTATTATCAAATTAATAATCATTTTATTGCCAAAATTATTTATGTTAATAATGTAAACCATTAATATATATTACATAATAAATACTTTCATTATTAATATTATTTTTTCTTTATATAAATTAAACTTTCTTTATATAAATTAAACTATATAATTTATATATATCAAACTATATTAATTTTCTTTTGCATTATTAATAATGTTTTATCTAATTTACATTTAAATAATTTTATTAATTTTATTAAATAATTTTATATAATAGGTATATTTATTAATATAATTATCATAATAAAAATTTATTATAACATTTAAAAAGTAATCATATTAATATTTAAATTACATCATAAGCTTAAAAACTCATAATTTTATTAAAATCTTATAATTTTGTCCATGGTAATATATAAGTCATGTAAATATCATATCAGATCATTAACAAGTCGGATCATTTACAGGTCAAGTTAAAAACAGGTCAGGTTAAAAACAGGTCAGGTTAAAAACAGATCAGGTTGAAAACAGGTCGGGTAATACCAGTTATTTACCAGGTCAATCTCAGGTTCGGGTTCATATCAGTCGGATGCAGTTCGGGTTCGGGTAACATATTTTTGGTTCAATTCGGGTTCAGGTCGTTTTCAGGTCAGATGCAGGTCGGGTTTAGATCCACAATTTCCAAGTCCAAATCGGGTTCAGGTCAACACCAGTTCCGACTCGAGTCGGTTTCGGATCGCCACAGTGCAGGTCAAAAACAGTTTTGACTCGGGTCGATTTCAATCAGTTTTACAGGTCGGGTCAGATTTTTACAGCCCTAATTTTATCACATACATTTCACCTGTCAATATATTAATTTCTTCAAAAGCTATTATCTTCAAAAGAACCCAAAGGCCAAAGTCATCAAATTTGCTCCACAAGTTTTTATGCGCCCAACACAAGCTTGCCACACGCTCACCAAATGCCACCCTCTCACGTGTATTGCATGAATAAATTCCAATGTCTACCATTATATATAATGGCACGTGTTTCACATGTCAGCAATCGGCATAATATACTAGGATTGGTAGCAATCAAATACAAAATTCATAACACACCCTAAAAATACATTAATTATGCAAATTAATAAGTTATGGTTGCCCACTTGCCGTTTCTAGTATGATATAAGAATTTGCTAATTATGTAGATATGTATACATGGATAAGATTCAATTAATAATGTAAAGTTTTATTTAGTTTTACGCATGTTTAATATTATTAGATGAGTTAAAAATAAACTACTGGAACTAAGAATAGAAAATTATAACATATTTATTGGGATGGTAGGAAATAAATAATAACTTAAACTCAACCTTAAAGAAAATTATAGTTTTTTTCAACCTTAAGAAAATTATAGTGTTTTTAAACAGACTCGAAGAAGGAGATGAAGGGTCACAGAGTCCCATCAATAAATTGTTCAAGAGACAACCAAAGGAGGAGTTTTGTTGTTTTGTCGATAATGTTAGCAAAAGAGTCCACCATTCTACTTTGTAGGGATTTAAATAATGTTCGTAATCTCGTTGTGTTTATTGTGGTTGCAGATATAACAGATGTCATCGCCGTCACTACGAATATCACAATAGTGAATTTTTTTTTAATTTCGCACAACTTTTCTAAACATGATAATTATAATTATAATTATAAAAAGTCATTTTTAATAATTTTTAGAATATTTTTAAGTGTAAAATTTAAATTATTAAAATTAGGATTAAAATTAAATAAAAATGAAAATTTACACTGTAAAATAAAGATTAAATTAAAAAATCTAAAAGGTTGGAGGAATGGTAGTAATTGAAATTAGCATGCCTTTGAAAATATATTTTTTAAAAAATTAAAAAATGTAATTGGGGTAGGAGTGGGACGGCCCGAAACATAAAATATAAAAGTTTTAAACTTTTTTTTTCTGAAATAGGATAAGCTAACTTTATTGAAACAAAATCCATTAATAATATGGTCCAGCTATTGACAACAAAACAATTAAAGCATTAAAATTAAAGACCTTGAAACTAAAGGCTAGAACAGAAGTATAGCTGAAAAGAGAGCTCTTTCAAAACATTTCAGAGGCTTTAAAATCTCAGCCAACCTTTAGTCTTTTACAAAACTAAAGGCTTGATTTTTCACCTTCTCAAATGGAAGTTTGTTTATGCTCAACTTTTTCATCGAGGACGAAGCTCAACGGGCACGAGATTTCCACTCAAAACTGAAGATTTGTTTTGTCGTCTTGTCCCTTTCCCGTTTAATCTTCGGTGAGTAATGGTAGGATAACGGTAATAGCCTGCCGCCATCGATGCTATATATTGTTACCCATTAAATGAAAGGCGCGACGAACCGATATTTACGTGAATTTGCTATCTACCGCTAAATCCATCAATATCGTTTCAAACGGCACCGTTACCGTGAAATAACGGTCGCTATTACATTTGCGTCCGCTATTTGAAACCATGCTTCTATGAGAGAAGCTTTCCAAGTCTATGGAGTCCTTGATGTTTTTGTAGCTCATAGGAATGTGAAAAGAAAACTATGTTTGCCTTTCTGTAGAAAGAGGAAATGAACAACCTATTTATGGTTTACCTATTAGGATTTTCATTGCAAAGGGCACAGCGAAGCCGCTCATGAAGGCGGTTAAAGTGAAAACGAATACATATAAAAAACGCTAGTCAACGAGAGATTCTATGTTATTCAAGGATGTACTTATTGGAGTCTGGTGGTATCAAAGAAGATGAAAGGGAGTACCACTACAAGAAAATATACTTTTAATGACACACGAACAATGACACACGCTAATTTATGACTTGCAAAAAATGTGTCATAAAAAATATCATGTTTCTTAAAATCTGAACGATTTATGACTTACAATAATGTGTGTCATATTTAATAGTCATAATCCAAAAAATTTAGCAAACACACGGAGTACACTTTTCATTGTGTGTCATCTCTAAAAGTCGTCTTTTAATTTCCCCTCATAATTTTCATCATGTACGCAAGCTTTCCCGCTTCTAAAAGTCGTCTTTTAATTTCCCCCATAATTTTCTCTTTGATTACAACGCAGACGAAGGGAGTCAAAATTCAAGGGTTTTCACAGGTATTCCTCGTTCTCTATTTCACCATTCAATTTGGGTTTCTGGTCTTACAAATTACTTATGTTATATTCCTTATGAATTTGTATGTAAAACCCTTTCTCTGTTGCAACAAGAGAAACAATGTGTGTTTGTCAATGTTCATTTTAACTGAAACTCAAAGTGGTCTCTAGTGATGTCACGCAAATTAAACCCTTCCTCGTTCACCATTCACATACGCATGCATTTTTTTTTATTTTGCTTTAGCATTCAGTTTCAGCGGCCAAAAACCCTAATTAATTCTTCGCTTTCTTGATTTCACATCTCACTCTCTAGTGGTCTCACGCGAATTAAACGCATGTAGTTTATTTTTATTTAATTTTTCTTCCTTTTGGTTTTAGAAATTATGAGATAATCCCTGAGTCCACTATCACATGTTTGGTATCTTAATTCTCCACTTCTAAGATTTGTGAATTACAATTCATATTTCAGGAAGTTCAAAACTCTGCTTTTTTTTCTTCATTAAGGCTGGTCCAATAATGGAGTCCGAAATGCAAAATGGTGTGAAACAGCAACAACCAGCGCAGAGGATACAAATATACCCATCCACTACCATTGGAGTTTCCCCCTTTTGGATAGGTGCTCAAATTAGATCTCTTTTACTCACAGTTATGGGCATGCATTGAGTCGATACATGGTGCTTTAAATTTGATATTTTGTTTTGCAGCTAATTATGAAAGAGATGTTAAGAAGTATTGGGATCAGTTCTACAGGCGGGATCAAGATAAAGTTAGTCCTCTTGCAGTTTTGTTTAAGTTGTTTTCACCCCTTTTTATATCTACTAAGGTCATTGTTGAGATGTTGTGTTATTACTTAAATGCACTACATCTACTCCCCAAACCCAGATTTTGGACTGGCTGTTAAATAATGTTAAATGCTATAATAAATACCTAAGGTTGAGGATCGAATGTTACTAAATTTCGGTTTAGTCTTTGTACTAGCAATGGTTGTGACAAACAACAAGGTTCTTTTTGGGATCACTTCGAAAAGCTGCAACTTATATAGAACCATAGCTACAGGAATTTTATTATGTTCTTTGGTATAGTGATTTTGAAATTGTTTAATTCCTATCGTTTCAGTTTTTTAAAGATCGACACTACCTGGACAAGGAATGGGATCAATACTT